AAATAACTTATTGTTGCATTAATACTGTAACAGCACTTCTCATTGATCCGTATAAAATGTTCATTCGAATTTTTCAACGCGGACAGAGAATGAGCGTGCTCGGTGATAAGTAGATAAATATTTGTGTTTTGTATTTCATTTTCCTGGTTCAGAAGTGCTGGTATTTCACAAAGATATGCATAAAGGCACGGAATGCGGCTTTTCTGAGCGAGGGTATAAGTCGCCAGGCTGAACAGCTATTCAGCTTCATGTTTGATGGCAGCGGCGTATTTAGAAAATCGCGAAGGGGGGGGCCAAGGGTTTGGAGGGCGGCACCTCACCCAAGGAGGGCGCCATACGGTCGCGAGATAGAAAATCACTCAACGGGGGGGGGGGGGGGGGGGGGTTGGGAGGCGTTTTTTACCATGCCACCAGTTTTTTTTTTGCGTAACCTCGTATAGGTCGTGCTGCATTGATTTTGCATCGTGTGTATTCTTTATACTCCAGGTCACAAAAGGTCAAGTGGTCTTGAAATGCTGCGCCGAAGGCGCGCGAAATTTTTGAAAACAACCTTTTCCTCCGCTTTTTAGGCACGCCTTTTATACGATCACTGTTCAAAGCTCCTCTCGCTCTTTTACCAAATTTGAAGGTATAAAAAATACCTAAGGTTTGGTCGGGCCGCTGCCACACAAACTGTATAGAAAGCTTGGCTCATGGGTGTCGATGTATAAAAGTTTATTGGCGGTGGCATATCTACGCACCAGATCACCGTATCGGATTGATACCGGAGCGCGAGATGCGTAAACATCATCCAAATTACCTCAGACCAGCCTTCATAGCCTTCTCACAGGTGCATACAGTGTACCCACATAACCAGTTTCAATCACCGAAACTTCAGATGCCTGCTGTTGCGGCCGAACCTGTTGACAATACTTAATCGTAATACATATAGATGCCATGATGCACGTAAAGTAGGATCAATCCGTTAAGACCAAAGGCGTGTTTTATGCATCGTAGAGCGTAGATAGTTTTGGTAGGTATAGGTACTTCATTCATTGTGCTGAATGCACGTTCATTTGTGGCAGTTTTCACAGGCAAGACATCAACTATGTGCAATAGAACGACTAAGTTGAAGAACATGCCAAAGGAGTAAATAAATGATAGGAGGGCAGCGATCAACGGATGTTGCCAATAGGTAGAAGGGCTGCGATCCACAGGAGGGCGCTAATAGGTAGAAGAGCCCCGATCAACATCCAGAGTTTCGACAGTAGGGCACCGATAGGTAGGAAGTTGGCGAGCAGCAGGAGGGCGCCAATGGATAGAAGGGCAGCGATCAACAGGAGGGCACCAATAGGTAGGAGGGCCCCGATCAACAATCAACAGGAGGGCGCCACCAGGTAAGAGGGTGGCGAGGAACAGGAGAGCACCAATAGGAGGGTGGCGATCAACAAGAGGTCGCCAATAGGTGGGAGGGCGGTCATCAACTGCAAGTCGCCAATGAGCGGAAGGGTGACGATTAAAATGGGGGTGGCAATGGTGAGGAGGGCGCCTTTGCTCAAGAGGATGACACGAACAGGACGGCGTCTGTGCGGAGGGCGCTGGTCAACAGGAAGGTGCCAGTAGATAGGAGGGCGGTGATCAACAGGAGGGTGCCAGTGGTTAGGAGGGCGGCGATCAACACGAGGGCGCCAATAGGAGAAGGGCCCCGATTAGCATTCAACAGGAAGGACTAGGGAACCAATAGGTAGGAGGGCGGCACTGAACAAGAGGGTGCCAAAAGGGAGAAAGGCGGCCTTCAAAATTTCACATGAGGGCGCAATAGGTAGAAGAGCGCCAATAATTATGAGGACGCCGATCAGCAGAAGGGCGGCAATGTGTAGCAGGGTGGCGACCTACAGGAGGGCGCCTTCGGGTGAGAGGGCGCTTATTTACAGGACAGCGGCTTATATAGGCGACCACCGTTACGCTTAGAGAGCTACAGCCTACAAATGTGGTTGGAGGGCGCCCGAGGGAGCCCTCCAACCGTATTTGGAGGGCGTATTTGGAATGGGCGTCCTCCGAGGGCGCCCTCCATCCGTATTTTCCCTGTAAACACATTCGCGATTGGAGGGCGCCCTCCAGTCGCGATTGTTTTTCGATTCGATTATATCACAATTGCATTTGCGATTGGAGGGCGCCTTCGGCGCCCTCCAATCGCAAAGGGCGCCTTCGGCGCCCAAGGGGGGGGCCATGGCCCAGTGGCCCCCCCCCTGCCTACGCCCCTGTTTGATGGCGTGAAACTCAGTCAAAATAATGACGTTTACATACGATCAAGCGCACCATTCAATACAATTACCTATCGTAAAACTTCATGCCAGTCCACTTGATAAGAGCAATGAGCACTATCCCTTCTTCGCGCTGTCACACGCGCCCAAACATCAACCACCAAATGCCCCAACACCGGTGTGTCGTTTCGTCGCACAGCGCGCAGACTGTCACAAACGCTGCAAATGATTGGCGCAGAACTGCGCATGCGCGAACAGCCGAACAAGTATGGCTTAACTCCGGCTTTACTCCAGTTAGCCGAAGGACACAGCCAGCTTGATCAGCTCGCGCTCCGCCCAAGTTAAGCCTGTTTTGGATGCGTGGGCAGATGTCGGGCTGAGCTACTGCTATCCGCACGTGGGCATAGCTGCGGCATGCCCAAGCTCAGCCCTAGTAAAAAATACATTGGTTTTGATCAAAGTGGGCAAACCCAAGCTAAGCCCAAGCTGCCCGACGTTTGCCACAGTTCAGCCCAAGTGAATTGCTGGCTGGGAGGTCAGGTCACCAAAAACAAAATATGGAAAAGGGCATGTGCGACATATGTTTTATGGGTCATTTTACTCATAGAATTCAATGGGCACACTCAATAAGTGATATGGACCACCTCTGGATGAATTTCAGGTCGAGGTCAGGTCAAGGTCAGGTCAAGTGAGGTCAAATTGTGAAGTTGGTTTTTAAGGCCTAAAAAGGTGTCTATCGGATGCAGTTTTTCACGGCGAATCGAATGGTGTTATTTTTGTTTCCGTACGAGGTCTAGAACTTCCAAAAAAATCATTTTTCAAAAATTTTGTGTGTCGTGACGTCAGAAAATTTTGAATAACTCCCACATTTTTGAACCGATTCTTCTAAAAATTGGTATGTAGGTGCACATAGACCACTTCTCTGACATATATTCCGGTTTTTTCGATAAACTCAAAATTTTGGATTTTTTAATTATTTTCCCAAAAAAAGTCAGTTTTTTGAAAACATTCGGGCCAAAATCCAAAATTTTCAAAAAACCGAGATAGCCATTTGATAGACAAAGTAGAATCACGTATAACCTTTTTTGTTACGTCTTGATTCCTTTACCTAAAAATGAAGATGTTAGCGGCGTTTGAAATTTTGCCGTTTTTGAAGCGAAAATGGCGAACATGACGACACTAAAACGTCAATTTCTCACAAAATTTCCGACCGATTTCGCTCAAATTTTCAGGGAACGTGTCAAATTGATGTATAATAAGGTACTGAAAGTTTGACGTCGTTGGCCTAACGCGTTTAGAAGTTATTGGCGAAAAACGGGAGGGGGGGCAGATTCTGCCCCCCTCCCAGCGGGGCGCGGGTTAACCTGGCCTGGTGACCTGACCTTAGGTCATCTGGAGTCAGCATTTTCACACAATGTGCGCAGAATATGGGAGAAAAGGTATACAAAATTTGGCTTTGCTGCGCGCCGCCGTTTTCTCGTGATCTGTGAAAAACCACAGGGGGGTTGAAAGCAACCCCCCCCCTGCAGTGCGCGTATTGTTAAATGCAATGCAACACAACAGTTTTTCGAACACTCACCGCACCGCACTCACCACACACAAGCCGCACCGTCCCGGTACACCACACCAGAGCAGAATGAATCGAGCGCCACAAACTCGACCAAGGTCAGGTCGGGTCATCAGGAGGGAGCCCGGAGCACGGTACTAATGGTCTCCGCACACCACGCGACTCTCCGCTGTTCGAAGGTCACGGGAATATTTGACCTCCCCAGATCCAGATCGGTGGCCGAAGCCTGGCCAGGGGCAACACGTTGCTATAATTTCCGCGTTGTGCAGGGTTCAGCGGAAAGTCGCATCCCGAATGGACCAGGTGTGTGGAGACCTTAACCCAGAGTTGCGCCAGCTCGCAGATCTGCTCCGGAGAACAAACTAAACATATCAATATAGACGCAGTGGCGTCGCCACGGATTTTCGACTAGGGGATCTGGTCGGACGGTCAGTCAAAGTAATCCCCACCAAATACTGAAAACTCCTCGGATTTAGACAATTTTATTTTGAGAATGCACCAAAATCGTTTTTAAAATATTTTATTTTATTCTTGATCGATTTTCGTGGCCAAAAGTGTGTGTGTGTGGGGGGGGGGGGCGTCGGACCGGCATATTTTCAAGAATGTGTGTGTGTGTGTGGGGGGGGGGGTCCGGACCCCTCCGACCCCCCCCCCCGTCGGCGACGCCCCTGCATCGACCAGCGGTCCCCCATTCATTCGGAATCGTACCCCAATCCGAGGATCCATGCTTCCGGCGGCTAAGTGCAACGCCACAAACCCGTCCGTTCGCAAACGGCCTAGGCCATTCGCGAATGGCCGGCCATTCGCAAACGGACTAGTCCGTTTGCAAACGGACCGCCATTCGCAAACGGCCTAGTCCATTCGCGAATGGACTAGTCCGTTCGCAAACGGACTAGCCTTCGCACTTGGCCCGTAACACCTATACATAGAACAAGCTCAGCGCGAGCTTCTTCTATTCAGCTATGCTCTGTAACTTCTGCAAATCTGCACCGTCAAGCCATCACATTTAGATGAAGCGCGAGAAAGACAAATGTTCTGGCAAGACACAGAACTGTTACTATACGCTGTTTCCATTTTAGAATGCTGCTGTGACGAACTTCCCGGAATCGACGAAGAGCACGGTTGTCTTTCGTGTTTCGTCATGACCTGAGCACGGTTGACACGCTCGCCAAACTCGGCAAAACAAAGCCTTATAATCGATATACTGGCGTGAGTATATTTGAAACGGCACAGCTAATAACAATGAACCAAATTCATGACTAGACAAGCCAAGGCCTCTTAGATAAAAATGTGGCAATAAATAGGACACATCACTTAGGACACCACGCACACATCATCATCAATAATATCAGCCAGAAATGTCGGCACGTCCCAAATACGAGTATATCACTAACGCGCTCATTACTGCCATCCATTCGTCACACATTACATGGACCGACCGACGCCAGCAGACGCCGCGCATGCGTCAGCACCAGCAGAGTACGGTTCCATTCGATCTCGCGCTATCAGCCAGCCCCAGCTGACCTGTCAGACATGTGACCGAATAACCACAAAGATACGGTTCCACTCGCTCTCGCGTTATCAGCCAGTTGACCTGTCCGACACGGGACCCATCACTCTTAGAACGACTGACACTCGGATCTCACAGTCGCCACAACTCTCCTCGTTCTCAGCATGAACAACAGGGCACAAAACGGCGATAACAGATCCTCAGAAACAATGCAGAGCTCGGTTCACGAGGCAAACAATTATGGTAGACAGGCGATCCTTGCAAGTTGCAACCGAAAATATATTTAACCCGCGCACCGACGGGGGTCTGCGCCAACTTAGTACCGACGGGGGGGGGGGGGGGGGCGGATGACCGCCCCCCCTGAGATCTCGAGAACGAAGCAAGATAGCGACAAGCGGTAAACGGCATCGGATACGCACGGACAAGGTCTACAATTTTTACTAAGGTCATTTTCAGGTCAGGTCAAAGATGACGTCACAGGGGTCGAAAAAGTCAAAATGGCGGCGCTAGATATGGAGAGGGTTTTTCTCGAATAACTTTCGAAGTAGTCAAGATAGGAACAAACTAAGGGCATCATCGTGATCCTCTCGTCGATCCACATCGAATGATATATATGTTGACCTCGAAAGGTCAAGGTCAAAGGTTGACCTCAGGTCACGTGACCTCGAGGTCATCATGTATATCATTCGATGCGTCTTGACGAGCTGAACACAATGAGACCATCCGCGCGGCTGTATCTTGTTCCTGTAAGGAGTTATTGGCAAAAAACCTTTGGTGACCTTTGATGACGTCACATGACCTTACAGCTGCCCAACAGCAAAACAGACCTCAAGGTAGTGAAGCTTGATCGTATGTGAAGTCATGTATGGTATATGGGGCCATTCCGACCCGTTTTAGTGGTAAAAACAGGGAGTTGATTTTTCCCCCATTGACTTATAATGGGGAGGTCGCGAAATTGACCTGACCTTAGGTCACCGACATCAAAATTCCGAGATATACAAATTGTAGCTACTAATGACCTAATAACATCCTGCGACTTTCAAAGGCCTCCGACATCTACTGTAGCTCTGGCACGGTGACAAAGTTGCAAAAAAGTGACTTGAGGTTGGGTCATTCAAAGTGACCTGGTGACCTGACCTTAAAAGTTAGGAGGTTCAAACTTGCACACCATGTGTAAAATTGATGAGAGAATAGTCATACCAAATTTCGCGGCGCTACGCGCCGCGGTTTTCCCGCTATCCGCGAAAAACCTCAGGGGGGGGGGGCGGATATCCGCCCCCCCGTCGGTGCGCGGGTTAACATCCTCACTTACGGACACTAGACGGACTTGAGGGAGTTTGCCAGCATTTTGAGCGAAGCAACGCATCACTAAGGAGACTGACCACTTCAGAGCATTGGAACTTCGAGCATTATCTCGAAATGCCGCTACAGGTAGATAGAGCAGAGAAGCTTTGAGAAGTTCATGACCTGTGCGGAAGTCTGGCAAACAAGATTAGGCGGAACGATTTGATGTCTTCGTTGCTGGTGACTGCAGCTGTATTTCAGTCGTCTGAAGCCACCATCGTGTTCGGCGGAAGTGGAGGACCGTGGAAAGGATGTTGTAGCAGCTGGTTCCATTTAGATCTGCAGTCCCGGGGCAGGCATCGATTAGGACATTCTGAAAAGAGGGAAGCTTTGTCAGTACTGGTATTCGCACTTTTGTGTCTCGCAGTTGACAAATGATCAAAGCTTCATCGTTCTGATTTTCTGTAAAAATCTACGCCCCGAATACAATTGAAACTCCTCACAAATACCAGTTTCTATCTCACCTTTGGTATAGCGGTGTTGTAACTGAAGGTCCCTCCTCAGATGTAAAAGGACTTCTCTCCCTCCTTCCGTGCCGGTGCCAGCGACAGCGAGGGGCTCCGGTGGCTCTTGGATCGGCGTTCTTCTATCACGGAAATCTCACGGCCCGACCACGAGGCAAGCTCACGGTTCCGGCTCCACTGCAAGAACTGGAAAATTGACACAAATATTAATATAATTGCCAATCAAAAGAACTATTCAACGATAGTATTCAGATCAAAATAATGTGGCGCAAGGCACACCATTATAACTTCCAAAAATATCATCGTTTCATAAAAGGCAAGGGCAAAATGTCCTATGCATTCAATGCAAGGTCAACGTATGTAAACCGACAGACGTCTGTGCGCAGCGCGCATTGAAAGTGTGGGCGGTACCCTTCGGTGTGGGCTGCCTGCAAATTTGTTTTGTCGGCCGGACGTCAGATGATTGAAGGCTGAATGCACATGCTGATGTCACTCGATTTACTGCTCACGACCCCACCAAGCGCACGCACAAACAAAACAGACGGCACGCCGCCGACAGCCCCCGAAAACGCCTTCACAGCGCTACTCACCGATCTCCTGAGCGGGAAGTCTCGTCCTGACCGCGGCGTGCCCGGCGGCCGCTTCATCAGCACGAAGCTGTACTCGGCCAGAGAGGACCACTCCTGCTGGATGGCCAGCGGACGGTCGTCGGCGTGCAGCTTGCGCTCGAAACTCGTCGTGCGGCACACCTAAGGGGACAGAACGCATCGGCTGTCAGTTGTGATACATCCTACTTGGAACAATGGATTCTGATAATCAAAACTTTCATCCGAAAAAAATATTTATGTACACCGTTTCAAAATTGTATAGGTACATAAACCATTTGACACAGCTGGAACGTGAGGCATATTTTACTGCTGAACCAGTGGTGGATCCAAGGGGAGGTCACATGGGTCATGGCCCCCCCTTGAGGCCCGGGGGCCCAAAGACCTGCCAGGGGCACCACCGGCCTATCAGGGGTGTCACAGTCCTGACAGGGGCACCACAGGACCGCCAGGGGCACCACAGGCCTAGCAGGGACACCACGGGCCTGGTGCCCCTGGGCCCTGACAGGACTGTAGCGCCCCTGACAAGCCTGAAGTGACCGCGGCAGGCACGTGGTGCCCCTGACAGGCCTGAGGCGCCCCTGCAAGGCCGGTGGTGCCCCTGGCAGGCCTGTGGTGTCCATGGCAGGCCTGTGGTGCCCTTGCTAGGCCTCTGGTGCCCCTGACACGCTTGTAATGCCCCTGGAAGGACTGTGGTGCCCCTGGGCCCTGACAAGCCTGAGGTGCCCGGCCATGACAGGCCAGTGGTGCCTAGCTAGGCCTGTGGTGCCCCTGGCAGGCCTGTGGTGCCCCTGGCAGGCCTCTGGTGCCCATGACAGGCTTGCGGTGCCCTTGGAGGACTGTGGTGTCCCTGGGCCCTGACAAGCCTGAGGTGCCCCTGACAGGCCCGTGGTGCCCTTGTTAGGCCTGTGGTGCCCCTGGCAGGCCTCTGGTGCCCTTGCTAGGCCGCTGGTACCCCTGCGCCCGGAGAGGACTGGTGCCCCTGAAAAGTCTGAAGTGCCCCTCGGCAGGCCCGTGGTGCCCCTGACAGGCCCAAGGTGCCCCTGCGAGGCCGGTGGTGCCCCTGGCAGACCTCTGGTGCCCCTGGCAGGTCTGTGGCGCCCCTGGCAGACCTGTGTTGACTGGTGCCCCTGCTAGGTCGCTGGTGCCCCTCACAGACCTGTGGTGCCCCTGACAGGCCTGTCGTGTATACTTGCTAGACCTGTGGTGCCCCTACTTCCTGGCGGGCCTGTGGCGCCCCTACAAGGCCGTAGGTGCCCCTGACAGGTTTGTGGTGTCCCTGGAAGGACTTTGGTGCCCCTGACAAGCCTGAAGTGTCAAGGACAGACCCTTTAGACGCCAGGGTCAAGTTCGTCGGACTGACAACGATTCGCTTACCTGATAACGTTCCTGGTAAGTACTCACTACTCAGCGTCCACAACATATATACACATAGCACATTCATATATACTTGCTTACAATTGGTAAATGTGGTTGTGGCAAGAGTTAAGATACTGACTTAAAATAAAAAATAAAAAGAAAAAAAAACTGAAAATGGGGGCACCACCAAAATGAAGTGGACGAAATCCGTTGAGTTTTTAATTTTGGGTATAGGTAGGGGAACCACTTCGATTCATGACCCTCCCCTTGGAGTTTTCCTGGATCCGCCCCTGTGCTGAACTCTCATCTGACCAAAAGACAAGTACTTTACTGGCTTAATTTCAGGTTACTGAGAAGCAATCATCGAGAGCTCAACTGGACTGTCTCCATCACGAATTCCTATTCCATTTCTCACCTCGTAGAGTGAGTAGTTGTGGACGCTCTCGTTGGACTTGTAGCAGGTGAGCAGCAGCTGCACCAGCTGGTCCACCGAGGTCCGGTCCGACACCAGCAGACTCTTGTACTGAGACTGAAACAAATACAACACCTTGTTAGGAAAGCGGCCACCTTGTTAAAGGGACCCTCCCACCTTAACATTAGTTTTGAGTTGAGATAGCCAAGTTTGCGGCCAGGCTCAGAAACCACCATTTATCCTGGTCGCAACCCCCGCAGCTTTATGGTGTTCAAGAAATTTCTTCCCTTTACTTGCAGGGTGGGACCAGCGTGGTCCCTATCTCTTAACCATTACGGGAGTCTGATGACGTCATCAGGCTTTCGAACGTCCGTTAAATGTTTGACTAAAACGTTTTGTAGCACGCGGTGGTATATGCTGCTTTGCGCGCAACAAATGCCGCACTTTCAAATAAAGTCGCTAGGAACAGCGGAGATCCCAAAAAGTAAACAAAAGTAAAAGTCTAATATCTTGAAAACCGGTGAATATTTTTCGATGAAATTTGGAAGATATTCGTTTTTGCTCTTTCTGAACCGAGCGACATCACTTTCATGCCAATTCATTAACTTTTTTGAAGGTGGGAGGGTCCCTTTAACTAATGCGTTCCCAAGAAAGCCGCCATTGCATCCCTGGTCACCGAAAAGAACTTTGCTTTGTTTGCTTATTACGGTTTTTAGACTGTGTGCTGCAAATCGTCTACCCATCAAGTTTCGCCACTGCAATTTCACAAAAACAATGGACGACACTTTTTTTAGCAGGGTCACAGGCCAACCATCGCCAGCCCATCAGGAAGTAGAGCTCGGCAGCCGAACTCACCTCGGCCATGAGAACGCTGTCGTACACCTTCACCAGACCGCCGTGCCGCATCCGGACTGTAAACCTGCAACGGAACAGAGGTCGGTCAGACATCGCCCGTGGGTGACCTCTGACCCCGCGCGGGTCACCGGGCGGGCGTGTTGTGTGGAACTAGCCGCCCGGACATGCGAGGAACGAACGGTCAAAGAGGAAAACCGGAACTGCTCGCCGTGGTGCCGGGTAGGACCGGTAGCGGTCGCATTCCCAGCATGACTGGGATAGATAGGGAATGGGGTGGCTCATTGGGGGCTGGCTGACTGATACTGCCAATCGTTTCGAGTAGATTCAAGGAGCATATTTACAGTACGCCTTACGAAAGGAGTGCTTTCTTTTGTCTACCTGTAACATAACTTAACTCAAATTATACAGGAGTGATTTGAAAATTGTTTAGGTGACTGCATTAGAAGCGTTTGAGTTTACGGTTCAATCAGATTTCACTCGGTGATAAGGTCGCCTGGATGCTTACTTGGAGTCGGCTCTCGGGTAGCAGGCCTGCAGCTGGGCGGGGCACGAGTCGTCGTCCAGAACCAGGATGGTCCGCACGGCGGTCCCTGACAAAAAAGGAACAATCAATCAATTCACTTCCCATGACTGACAGGTAGACGCCACGACCATCTGTAGAAACGGTGCTGAGACCTACAATCACCTCTCGATTGGGGTAGCCGGTCACAATTCAACCATCCCATCACATCTGAAGTAGCCCTCCCACCCCGCCCACCGAACCACCACCGCGGCGAGCGTGACCTTAATTGACCCGGGTGACCCCGGCGTGGCCGACCCACTTGTTCGCCGCTGGGCGGGGGCGATATGAGCGTGACCAGTCGATCGGATGTTGCTGCTGTCCGATGTGGGCCGCCCCGCCCCCGCCCCCGCCCCCGCCTCCGTCCCCGCTCCCGCCTCCGTCTCGCTTGCGCGAAGTTTGAGCGTCACACTTCTATTAGCCCGCAATAGCTCGTCTTGTCGAATAGCCGAGCGATGTTGAATATGTGGAACATTGCTGCTCAACAGCGTCATTCCACTGACCTATAGCTCCTAATTGACAAAACATCCAATTTCGGATTCTCTGCGATACCTATCAAAGAAGCAGGAACGCTTTATTACCAGTAGGTGATAAATGTCAAACACATCCGGATTTATGTAACGCTGCTCAACCGGATACACACAATAGGTGTATTTCAAAGAAGGCACGCAATAACAGGTATTCAATTTCATCAAACATTCTTACCGTTACGCATTTACACATTCCCATAGCCTTTATTTTTTACATATTGTGGCGATGAGTTTTTGCAATACATACATGTAGCCGTGAGCTTACTCGTGTTGCCTATTTGTCATTGTATTGCATAATGTACCAGTGCTGCATTCGTCCACATAAATTTTGCTGCAACATTTCGTTTTGAAAATGACAGCGTACATGTTTACTACACTGTTATTTTATTTTATCCGCTGTTACCCGCCTAAATAACAGCAGAAAGCCCGGAGACAGCTACCGCTAGGCTGGCTCCGACATCCTTAAAAGACACTTCTATGGCAGGTTTGTGTCTTTGACAGGCGACAGCGCCTTTACACCACTAGAATGTCCCTAATCGGAGCTAAATGATTGTAATTTAAAACCAGCTGAGCCCCAATTTGTAAGATTTCATACGATAAAATGTCGTCGTGGGCAAATGCGCCAATAAATCTTGAAACTGCGAATCGAGTTGGTGTAAAAACATTTTACATTTTATTTCGAAAAGACCCTGCGGTGCTTGAATACTGGCGGACCATGTAGCACTTGTCAATTTTACAGCTATTCATGGTCCAGCAATGAATTAAAATGGCAGTTGACAACCAATCGCAGGTCAGTAATACGTAGCTACATGTGTGTAGCTATGTGTAGTATGATTTGTTATGCCTACGAATTAGCAGTTGCAAATATACGCCCTCTAGCAATGAATATAAATCACTGTGTGCGCATTGGGTCGATTCCTGGCACATCTTTTGACCTTAGTGTCAGGGCGGCCAGCAATACTCTCTAACAAGGAAGAGCTTCATTTACACCAGTCTCCGCCGCCGCGTGCCGCCCAGAACACAAACAGGGGTGCCGCTGTGGCCTTGTCCCACCTCCCACAGCCCGCACCCAGCACAGAGGCGGCTCTAGTAGAACTGAGAAGACTGTGTGTGAGCTCGCATATACGGCTCCTTCCGGTGGCAAATGTGGGAGATGCTGTCAGCACAGTTGGAGCCTTGCGGTAACAAAAGGGTCTTATCTGTTGTGCCGCATTGAAAAATAGAACTGGAAAATAAACAGACCGTTTTGGCATTCGATCCAGCTATTTAGTTTTAAATAGTATATGTGAGTTCCAATTATCATATTATTTATTATTGAGAGGCAAACGCCGTATACCCTAGCCTCGCCTCACAGAAAGTTTTGACTGCAGGTCAGAACTTTCAACTCCAGCTAGCTAACGAGACTTTCTCCTGCCACACATTACCGTCATACCGGTGCGGTGACATCGCTCGGAACAATGCCATTTTCACGGGAAGTGTGATGGGCTGGACGGAAACAAAGACGAAAGTCTGACTGGGACCATCAGCTCCACACAGCAGGAGTAATTACCTTCGTCCATCGCAGGGAGTAGCGGAGGCCCAGCTCCGTCGTGGGGCCGCCCAACCCGTCCAGGCATAACGGGTGTGGGAAGAAGGGGACGTGGCCGGTGGCGACCGGAAGCCTGACGCCATTCCAGACAGCCGACAGTGCCCAGCAGCGTCCTTCGCGCGACCTTTACCCGGTTTTCGTGGTCCCACAGGAGTCTGTGACCCAATGGGCGTGACACATGACACGCCACGGGCCGTCAAACATGGCCTTCAGACACTGTTGCCACTTCTTTGGTCAGTTAACCATAAAGGCCTATCACCAGCCGTGAAGAATTGCCATGAACGTCGAGGAAGGAAACTGAGTGGTTTCAAGGTGATTCAACTAACCTGTGCTCCTGGTGGCGACCTCCATGGTGAGGAAGAAGAGGTTCGGGTCGCGGTGCTTCATCCGGTACTTGTTGAGCAGCTGGTCCACCAGGTCTCGGCAGGTGGTCGTGTATTTGACGCTCATCGTCTTGTACTCGAGGTCGGGGCGGAGACAGCGGGTGTACACCTTCACCGTCGTCTGTGAAAAGAAGAGCGTTGTCACGCATCGTCCTAACTTCTGTTATAGCCACATTTCATAAACAGATATGACATTGATGCCAAGTTAATTTCTACGTGTCAGCTTCTGTGCCTGGTTCAGTGAACATGTTACGTTACAGGCATGCATTCTTTTTTTCAGCAGGACCGACTGATACGAGCATCAATGATCATACAACACTAGGCACCACTTTGCAAAAAATCATTACGGAGTGAGCGAAGCGAGCGTAGTCTTTCCTTAGATTAACGGAAATTTCTGAGCATGAGCGGCCGGCCGTGGTCACGCTTTTGCGAGGCTTATATCTCAGCAACCACTTGACCGATTTACACGCGGTAATTTTTGTAGGGTAGCTTCATTCCTTCTACCAAGTATTGGACTATTGCCGATGCATGTGGGTGACCCCTTATGCACGTGCCACGTGCAAAACGAAGAGGTGTCACTTTTGTAATTGTTGCAATATCTCGGTAACTACTTGGCCGATTGCGCTGAAAGTTGGCATGTAGGTAGGCACTCACTAGGCAATGCATATCCATGTGCCAGAGTTGGGGTGCTGCTGCACGTGCGCACGTGCAGGGGTCGATTCCAAATCTCGAGAACGGCTGGACCGATGGCGCTCAAATTTGGCACATGGTTAGGGACCGGTTAGTAGGGTGTCGTGCAAAAGTCAGTTGGGACCCATTTTGCACGTGCGCACGTGCAGGGTGCCGATTCCAGATCTCGAGAACGGCTGGGCCGATTGTGCTCAAATTTGGCACATCGCTAGAGACCGGTTAGTAGGGTGCCGTGCACAAGTCAGCTGGAGGTACCCCCTCGAAATTTCGCACGTGCAAGGCTCACCCTCTCGCTCGCTCCGTTAGTCGCCCATAAGGCGTTATACTGGTATTAGCTGTTTTCACGACGGCCAGCTGGTACACATTTGGTGCACATCTGGTACAGATTAGATGCAGATTTGGTCAAATCAGGTTCAGTGTGTCTCTTAGCAGCTTTCAGCTAGGGTTGCACTAATTGCTTATATGCCTGCTTTGTCATATTATCAGAGAGCATCATCGATTAAAACACTGAAATAAATTCATAAAATGAAGATATTTGCTATAAAAGAGATAAGGTGCAGATTTGGTCAAATCAGGTGCATTCGCTGGATAGCCCGTCGTGAAAACGGCTATTGATGAACCAAAACTAGCTGTAATGAAGTTTGGACTTCCATTTCGTGACTCATATTTATAGCCTAATCACGGGAGAGCTTCCCAACCACTGTTCGGCCAGCACGAAATAAATGTGAACACAACGCGCAGAAAAGGCACGCATGACTAAGGGCATGTCGCACATGATGATCAAGCGTGTCGTTTCGTGTGTATTTCGCGCTCCTTGATTATGACTTAACACAGCCGAAGGCTGGGTTCACGTGGATTCATTGCACATTGCACAACCTGTTCACCCATAGCGTGCAGGGAATAATTTGACGCAATTCAGTCACGCTACTGATCCAGCGGCCAAGCAGCAAATACCCATAAATCAACATAGTGACTCCCACACGAGTGCGCTGACTTAGCATACACTGATCACGATCTTAACCCGCCGTCCCCGCTTCGATGAGACATCATTCACGGTAGCTCAGGCGTTGCATGTGTTTACCGCCTTGCCGAGACTACAGGGGCTGAGCGCCTACGCAATGCGTGGCGCTGATGACGTCAAATGAGGCCCGCGTGCGGAGCTCCCGTGGGGTAACGTGCCCGTAAATTATCGTGACCGATTGCATCGCACCTGGACTAGGAGGTGTCATGGACCTTTTGACCTGGGTGTGAAAGAGAACTGACAAACAAGAAGCCGATTCGGAACTATGTGGCACAAAGACACGCATTGATGACGAATGCAAAAATAAAACGGGGAAGCAAGTTTGGCTAAGAAGTGGTATAGATGCTTTTTGGCGTCATAACATTTGTCAAATTAACACTCGCTTTATGAAAGGTGGCGTTGTTGCACATAACATAGCATACGCACTCGATTTATGCCCGCAATGAACACAAAACACTTATCATTTGATCAAGAAAGGATGTTAAGTGGTGCCTAATTATTTCTGTACGCATTTTAATCCTTATACAAATACATTTTAACTTCCATTTCAAAGGTAACCGTGTCCTCTTTAGCACACAAGGGGCCGAGTTCCATGGGCTCGAGCGGCGTTAGGCCAATTCGTCACAGTTGGGTCGGGCAGCGCCATACAAGGTGTGACCAATCGCGGGGCGGTTCGACCGTCACGCAGCAAATCGGGGAGGAAACGTGGGGGACGGCGAGTCGGGGGGCGAGCCTTATCCGTCAAAAAGCCTGCAGAGGTGGAGGAAAGGCAAAGGGTGCTAAACGATGCTTAGTAGGACCGCCAGGAGCATGTGAAGATCGCGGCGATGCTGAGCTTTCCGTCTCTGTTTTACTACTTCAAAGACGTAGTCTTTGCTTGCAGGAAAAGTGAATGACCGCAAGAGAAATGGACGCAAAGGACTTATCACCGAAACTCAAAGGCATATTCAACTCAATAGGAAACTATTGTCGATTGAAACGGGAGTGGATTGTCTCTGAGTTCGCTGCTCCATTCAAAATAAACTATCGATCTTATTTTAGATGAGGATGCAGTGAACCGCCAACAAACGTCATTGAAAACTATTGCGAAACAAAAAAAAACTGCCAATGCTAGAAGAATGAAGAAAAAGGCATTGGTAAGATCACTTACATGACTATTCAAACCCTAAAATCTGTAGAATGGTAGGGATCAGACCACCCAGCGCCCGCGTGAGGCTCAAGGTCAGGCGTCTCCAGCCTGCCCATGTGTCACCCGAGGCGGCACCACACCTCATCACACCGTCACTCCTGCTGAAGGCGGTAGTTCATCGCACCTACACCTCAGCCCGAGGGCTGTAAGGACCAGCGTCTCCCCGAGTCTGGTCCAGCCCGCCGCAGGCAGCGCCGACAGCGCACCTTCGACCGGGCGCCCAGAGGGACTCATTACAGGGTGTCCTCGGGGTCGGACCTCTCCCCAAGAACGTTCCCCATGTAATATGGAGCGGCGCGCAGCGACAGGTGGGCATTAATTTCCGATTGATTTATCGCGCCCCCACCGGCCGCCGGTGCGTCGGAGTTCATTAAAACTGTCGCGGGGAGCCCCTCTTCATTACCGTCCCGTCGTGTGCCCGTGGCGTTTCGAGGTCCGGTCCCAGATCCGCAGATCCCCCGGACGACACCCGGGGTGTCGCGGGTGACCCGGGACGTCGGTTTGAGCTGCTTTATGGGGTCTCCACAGCTGGAGACCGAACGCGGCTGGTGCGAGGTGCCGGGTAGAAGGATTAGCGCGCTCCGAGGAGCAGTTTGGAGGGCGTGTCGCCATTGAGGAGCAAGTGATCGGTACGTGAGATGCAGGTGCAGGCTGCACGCATGGTGTGCGTAAAGACAGCTTTTCGTGGGCGTACCTGGCAGAGCTTTTGACATCTCTCTTCTTAAGGCTAGTGATACGTCCAATGACATCAATCCCAGGATGTTTGCTCGTAATTTCAGACCAGCCTCGCGACATCAGGACCGTGATGGTATCACGGTACTCGGTGGGAAGCTGACACCGGTGGGATTTTACCGTGAGAAATCTACAGGAGATCCTATGCCTGTGGCCGGAGGATAATGGCCACCGAAACTCACCGTGGGCGGTGCGGCGGGCACGCTGGCGCTGCCCGTGCTGCTCTGCGTCTCGTTCAGAGACGTGTACGAAGACGAGCGAGACGACAGTGCCGGCTCGTGCAGCGAGCAGAAGCTCATGTTGGAGTTGATGCTGAGCGTGTCGGCCTTCTGGCCGCCGGGCCGCAGCAGCGACGAACTAGAGCGCACCTGCACGTGCTTCAGCATCTTCCTGTGGGAAAACAATCAGACACCGAAATTGATTCCACCGCATGTTACAAATGATTCTTTTGTGCTAATGATATCAATAACACCCAATACCAGAACTCATCAGCATAACAAGTCATGAATATCGGCATATTACTCCCTCATCTGTCCCTCATTTCCTCATGGTTCTGACGAGAATCATTTGCCTCGCCTCCCGCAGATCAGTCTGATTTCGATCAGCGTCCGGCGCCGGTTCTCACGCATGGTCTCCCGGACCATAACACGCACCCATCGTGGGTGCCGTCTCAAAAGAGGTTTTTCTGATCCAAACACCGCTCGGCGACGTCGCTCACGCGGGGTGACGATGATGAACTGATAAACATTCGCGGCAGGACAGGTCCGGACGCCGGTTGTGTATTGGTTTAGGCACAGATCGTATAGTGTAGAGCGATGGACCGACATCGCCAGACCGCCTGGCCTGGGAACGATGTGCTGAGAGACGCGGCTGCCCCGGGGCGCATCGGACTGGTCTGGACCGGGGCCGGACATCCTGTCATGACTGAGGAGAGGGACGCCGCGGTGGGACAAATTAGTCGGCCGCACGGCAACGTGGGCGTGGGACGCGCCAGACGGGACCGGCTGGATGAGGTTAGGACGGGAGGGGAGGGATGGGAGAGGGAGGAGAGAGGTGGAGACAGGACAGGGACGGACGGGATAAGTGGGGACCAGCTGGCCCGACGTCCATGAAGACACACACGGCTGGGCACATCTGCCTTGCGCCGAGGACAGGTTGGGTTGGCTATTCTGGTGCGTTGGAAAACCAAGGACATGTAACGCAGAAAGGATGGTGGGTTTGCTACGGTAATTAGTGGGCGCAAACTGGCAAAACAATGGTGACATGGTCCTTAAAGAGGTGACCTGACTATGGCTACTAACATGACAGGCTGAGACATTGCACAACCGTGGCAAGGAGAATCACACATGTCATGGATACGGATAGGTAATGGACGCCGGTGAAAACAGGGTGCCGGAGGGCATATTTGGTTACGTGACTATTGAGAAGTTCTTCCCCCTTAATGCCTTTTACACAGTAATTGTCACGTGGTTTGTGCGAGTGAATTTCAAGAGCCTTGATCAAATCGCCCCAGGCGCCCTGTTTTCACCGTCGTCCTAGGTAATGGGCATTGGACATATCCATCTCACTCGCAGTTTGACTTTCAAGAACGTTGCATAAAGGAAAATCAATTATCCTAAACTTGGTAAGCACTCAACACATTCAGGACGTAGGCTTCCAGACAGACATTGGCGGCCACCCCATACACATCGTATGTCTAAAATGCAGCTAATGCCGGATTAACGTCGAATTAACGTCCACAATACCGCTGCCGCTGGGGTGATTGACGATTCAGCGCCACATGCTTTGCCATGTCTCAGAGTAAAATGGCTCAGATCGCAAGGAAGGACCGCTATGTAATTGAACACCGTGTCCATGTGAATATTTTCGTCATACACTGTTGCATAATGGGCTATATAACTGGTTTCCGCTGGCAACGTACGACTTTGGCGTCAGCCAGGGATTGATTGTAAAACACTGCCAGTGCCTTGCATATCAACATAACTATGGCTGAGTTTACACTTTTGGGACGGGAAAGGATATTTAGGTATTTAATTTAGAGCGATCGAGCTATCTCCGTCGAAGAAGGAAATGATAAAATTATCAATTCAGCATAACTTTTCGGATATACGCATGTGTGTCACGCGTCGCAAAATGCAGAGGGTCATAGCTCGGCGCTTATATTGGACTGGTTGCACTTGGCGAGGCTTAATTTATGAATTAAAAAGGACGAACTACATAGATGAATTCTTGCCTAACTTGGCAGGATTGTTGAACTATAATTATCCGTATGACTCGGTGTGATTCTGAATGACATCATAAGTAAATTTTAGACACAAATGAAAAAAACTTCATGTTTTTTATAAGAGCAACAGCGCTCATGAATATTGTTCACACCAGTTTACCACCGTAGCACAGCCACACAACAAAACAACAACAACAACAACAACGACAACAACAACAGCAACGATAACAACACTGACCTGAACAGATTCCTCAGATGCAGATCCACCAATCGGCTTCACAAAGTATCACCACTCAGCACACCAGTCACTCCATGACAAGACAGCCTCGCTTCCGCCACCCCACCCCGCGGTTACCACCACTCGACTGATGGGCCGCGGCGGAACCCGCGAGGAGTACTCCCTAAACGGTGTGACGTCACCGCCCGGAGGGCCAATGGCCGGCGTCGGACACCACCCCCAGCGGACACCACCTGCTCCTTGGTGAGGGGACGGGATTCGTGGGATTTCTGAGAGTATGGTGGGGATTGCGCTCTGCTTGGTTATGACTTGTGCCAAACCCGCAACCAGCACAACGCTTTCGTTACGTCAAAATATTGCATTTATATTTTATAGAATGCATCGGCTTGACATGATCGTCTTATAGAACGGCGGCTTGGAACGCGACCTTTATAAATCGAAGCAAAGTGTGCAAAGTGAACTTTCAATCAAAATATAAAAATATGTCGTCAGTAAAATCAATTATGGGATGTAGCTGCGTTTCAGTCTGATGACGCCTTGCATTGACAACGCGCTAATGAAGACACCTTTGGTATTTGAATGCCGCACACTGCACAGTGCACGCTGACCTGCGTAACAAGCCCGTGCCCCGCCGGAGTGCAGTTCACGGCAATATAACATTTGTGAAGAGTTAAAATACCTTGGACGTGCACGTTGCATGGTGCCGCATCACGCATGGCCTGTGAACCGAACACAGGCTTACGGTCAGTGTCAGGCACTGCGAAATGAACAATCGCGACTGCACGAAAAACTCCGGAACTCCAAATCACCACTCACATCACCCGAGGGATCTATTCAATCTAACAGCTGCGACCAATTCCAATCCAATCGAATTCCCTTCCATTTTAAGACGCGGCAGCAAATTACGTCCTACTGGCAGCTGTATTTGGACTCGGCGGTCAGCTGAGCAGCAGGTGTGACTTGTGACCGAGCACCACCAGTGACGTCATCGCGGGCACCAGCTGGCGGGGGAGCCGAGGGAGCCCTGCTGTGCGGACGATTCGCCGCGGTGACAGGCGCGGGCGGAGCGCAGACGGGAGCCAGGTGGCGCAGAGACGCATGGGCCGGCACCCTGTCCCCCTTTGTCATCCAGTAATGACTAATGATCACCCTTCACCGCGCTAGGCACCGGTGGTGATGGATATCATAGGCCACAGAAGCTTGCGGTCTTTTGGCCACGGATATTCTTTTTTTAAAGTCTTTTAAGGAATTCAGCTAGTGCGTGTACCATTACTGAAACTTGTTCTTTATCTCTCCTCACCGGCAGGCAGCCTGATGAAAGCGAGTTCTCGCCTTTTGTCATCCGTCGGGTAACATGAGCGATGAGCATGCTCTTTGTTGTCATGCGAGTTGCTATGGAATAGGTGTGGACAGATCATATTTGTGTTCTTTAGTCTCGCGTTGATCACATGACCGACACATGTCGTAGGTACACACGTCAATCCTCAATCAGATTTTTCCTCGGCAGAATGATCCTTATCCACGGCTCTCGTGCTGGCACTAACATGGACAGATTCCATTTGTGTGGCACCACACTTGCTGGCTGCTGCTTATAATCACCATCAAGCGTCGCCCACTCTCACTAGGATCTGCCCCTCCCCTCCCCACGCACACACACACGATCCTCGTGTCGGCACAGCACGTGCCACTCATCGGTTCTATAACGACATCAAGAGCATTTCGAGCCTTTGCTCTTGACCTTTCGTGCCGTTTGGTCGCCTATTCACGGCCTGCTCCATCTCCGGGAGGGTTGTCGCCCGGGGCGACGCACCATCTGTCCCCGCGCTGCGCGCCGCTACCTTTGATGTCCCCCGGTGTCCGGTGACGGCTGGCGCGTCTCCGTCGGGAGAACGCGACGTCCCGGATGGTGGCCAGAGGCGGTCCCAGGGAGGCGAGTGGGGAGGACTCGCACGTGCTGGTGAGTTGAGTTGAAATAGTTATAAGACCCAGAACAGGATATAAGATGTTTTCATGCGATGAGTCGGTGTGATTTTTTAATGTTAGCACTTTGCACCCCTTTTATGTTTGCTTGGCACCGCCTATGACGTGAGATATTCCAGATCATGTGGGGGAGGGGAGCACTCTCAGGAGAGCAGCAAATAAATCAGCACGCGCGTAGGGAATACATCCGGTCCGGGTGTGTTTTTACAGGGCACTCGCCTCCCAGGGCGCGGCGAATCATGCCTTCAGAGTGCCTGGTTATTCCTGGCTGAAACACCCTGCATAGATCGCAGCGCTCCACTGACTAGAGAGATACAAGCTGACAACCAGCCATCGCCCAAGCTATCGAGAGGGAAAAGTTGTTTGCATACCAAGCAATAGATCAGAAGGCCTTAGATAAAGTCATGGGCTTCAAAAGCGATGTGGTATGCAGGAAATGGTTAGCCTGGACCGTTTTACGTGGATGGGAGAGCTGAGAATAAATGCTTGGGTGGGCCAAAATATCAAATTCGAGAGACTGTAGGCCAGTCGGAATTTGTGGTTGCAATTGCACCTTTTCTTCCTGTATTGATATTGCTGAATATTGAGAAGCATTTGTGCCCATACACGCATGCTTTGTCTGCTTTTATAAGAACACATTTATCTAATTTCGGCAAATAGTTAGAACGCCATACGAATTCATTTTCAGTCGCTAAGCCCCAATGAAATTTGAAGGAAATTTCGTACCTAATGTCTTGAAACAACTTGTTTCGCCCACTGCATGTAGCCTACTCAATGGCATGCTCCCTCCTACCGCAGAACCAACTGATTGGCGGCACAACAGTCAACAGGGCCCACCGCTGTTCGCCCCCTGTCGTTTGGCGTTAATTGCCCGCACGTGCGGGACCTGGGCGGCGGTCGAGGGGGCAATTTCCGGTGGTCGGGTGGTCGGGACAGAAAACTGCGCCTCCGCTGCCCCTGCCGCCCTCAGCTCTCTCCCCTCCTACCCTCGCCGTCAGCAAAAAGGAGCGCTCCCGACTGGAGCCAATTTTGGCGCTGCGCACAGCTTTAATCGTCGTTCATTTCCTGCGCGGCGCAGAAAAACGGTGACAGATGAGCAATTTATGAATCCGGGACTGACGCTCTAAAACGACGATGGCTTGACATAAAATCATGTCGCATCAAAATGGGCATTAGTGCTATTCTATAAAATGTGCCAGTATTCGCCTAACGCAATTTTCAGAAAGTTGTCTGACAGATCTGTTTACCGTCCCTTCACGGGCAGACTCTCGCCGGGCGCGAGCCGCGTGATACCGGCACGGGCAGGCCCATGGCCACCATACACTTAGCAACACATGTTGCTATATAAAGAATGGTTAGCAGGCCAGTCCTTTTCCATGCTGCACCTATCGACTAGCACTTACCTGCCCACGTATACACGTAACATATTCCAATCGCTCCCGGTTTTGCTTTGTTGGCGTTCTTCCATATACCCAGACATTTCCAATTGAAAAATCCCATCACCAGCAATTACTCGAGCCGTAATCACTTCATTGTACGTACGTCGAGCTACCGACCAACAATGCAGCTGCCGCGGTCTCTCGGTCCGGGACCACCCAAACTGCCGATGGTCCTCGGACCAAACAACGCCAGCTCCAATTGACCAATTAGCGCCGAGACCACGGCCCTTGGACGTGCTCGAGGGCAGCAGTTGAAGCAGCCTGTTTTTACGGAGGACTTTCTGAATGGCAGTGACGACTGACTGCTTTGACAAGGGAAGCGATAAAACTTCAGAGACTGCATTGTTTAGCTTGATGCAGTACCTACCCTTACTTTTTGCAAGACTGTGTTTAACGTAATGCTTTGTGTGTTGTCATGTTTATGGTCATGTACATTTTTATATGATTGCACATGTGTTCTACTTTATGGCTAAATGCATTCAATTTATGTAGTTTTTTACAAAAATACTTTTTTGGAGGCAAAAACAAGCCGCACCCTTCTATCAATTAACAAAATTGTGGAAATGAAAAGCACTAAAAGCCGAGACACATGGCACTAGCATGCAAATCACATCTTGCTCCTCCCTTTGAAATGCATTGATTATACGAGCATATCGCTCTCAACTCGCCGTTCGTCCCGCTTTTCCGCCGCAAAAGCACTTCTTCCCTCCCCGCCCGCAAAATGTGGGCGAAATGCTCGCATTCCGTTGTAGCTCGTCTTCCAGGCCCGTCTTCCAAAGCTATATAGACACAATTACATCCAGTGTGAGTTCATAGAATTGGTGCTTTCGAATCGAATGAGATCAGCTTGCAATGCAATGCCTTCATCTATCAGTCAAGTCCATCTGCCAAGACTGTTTCAACCGTCCACTGACAGCGGCATTAGCAGTCTCACGTTCTCAAAACGGAGGTTTCTAGTCCTCGAGCATTGTGATATCCCAGAAACACTTCCCATAAAGAAGCAGAGTACCTAACTGCTGAATAATGTTCTGTCTCGTATTCATGCTCCCGAGATGTTCTTTGTCTGAAGACCGACTCTGTTAAGGTGGCAGCACACTTCTTTACTGAGTTACAACAGTCTGTCTGCCGCATACGGAAATTGACATTTTTTTAAAGCTTATGTTACAAGGAACAATTCTAAGCAAAAATACCAATTATTTGTTGAACACCTAACAATCCGCTCGAACACGGAAAATTGCTTTTTAACCCTCGCCCGTAAACGGCGATCTGCCACCTTCGCCCATGCAGGGGGGGGGGGGGGGTTGGTGCGACCCCCCCCCTTGGCGTTTGAAAACGGAGCGTCGTAGAGCTTAGCGGAAAAAACCAACGGATTGCTCTCAACGAGATCTCGCGATTGGTGGTATATTTTTTGGTCCTAGGTCAACATTTGACCTACTTTTGACCGGTCAAAGGTCAAATTTTCGGAAAAATAGACTTTTTTCAACTTTCCGCGGCGATTGCGGCAAAACGGTGGGAGATATCGACTTGAAACCTTCACTATCGTGTTCCTTGATCAATTCTCTATCGTTTGGTATGTATTTCGTTTCCCTAGCTCTAAAAATGGCGCGTTGGGAGCGCCGGAAGTCGACAAGGTCACAGTCGGAGGCAGAAATTCGAAAAATCAAAATTTAAATTTTTGAAATCTGATTGTATTTTTGGATTTGGAAGGTC